ACAAAGATCGCGACATGCGAGGACTGTACCAACACCTCAAGAGATCAGTGGGCCTCAGCGGGAGACAAGCGGGGGGACAGCAGTTCGTCGCGGATGAGAGCGGCGTGTTGCTCCGGAACAGGGACGGCATCCTCCAGCGGTGGGCGAGATTTTTTAGCACCCTACTCAACATCAAATCCCCCAACCTGAACCCAGACATCATCACACGAGTGACGCAGCGGCCAGCGACACGTGGCACTCAACGGTTGGGAGAGTGGTTGGTGGAGGTGCCAGACCTCGAGGACGTGGCACGGGCAACGAAAGGCCTCAAGAACTGGAAGGCACCCGACCATGACTCTCTCCCTGCCGAGTTGCTCAAGATCGATGACGACGAACCCTTCGTCCTGGGACACCTCCATACCATCCTCGTCAAGGTGTGGAACGGAGGAGTTATCCCGCGAGAAGAGTGGAAGGATGCAACCATCAAGGTGCTGTACAAGGAGGGTGACCGGTCCAACTGTAACAACTACAGGGGGATTTCGCTACTATCTCACGTAGGCAAGGTCCCCATCAAGATCATCACCAACCGTCTAAGCGCCTTCTGCGAAGCCAACAACATCCTCCCGGAGGAACAATGCGGATTTCGATCCGGGCGCTCCACCGTCGACATGCTGTTCGTCGTGCGCCGCCTCTAGGAGCTGGGGCGGAGAAAGAATTTACCGCTCTACGTGTGCCTCGTCGACTTGAAGAAGGCGTATGATTGGGTGGACCGAGGGATGCCATGGAAGGTGCTGGCCAGGGCCGGGAGTCCCGCGAAGCTGATCAAAGTCATCCGCCAATTCCACGATGGAATGCGGGCCCGGGTGCGCATGGACGACGGAGAACTATCGGAATGGTTGTTCGTGACACAGGGCGTGCAACAAGGATGTTTGCTATCCCCACTGCTGTTCAACAACTTCGGCGAGGTCCTCGAGGTCGTTGTCATCCGATTCAGCGAGGATGATGTTGGTGTGCTTGGAGGAGGGGAAGACGGAACCCCGGGGGGGGGGAGGAGACTGATCGATAATTCGGGTGGCCCAAGTCTATGTGCTTGGAGTTTAGAGCGGGTGGCCCATGACGGGGCGTGGATGGGTAAAAACGTGTTGGGAAACGTGTTGTATCCGTGTTGTATTAATCGGGGGCGTGCTTAAGCTCGTCATTCCATCACGGCATCAAGTCACGCATAACGCTCAAACACCCAAAACGAATCCTCATGAATCTCCACCAATCTACCACACTCCCAAGGAAAACATAGAGAAACTTCTTGTTCCTCAGTAGTTCGTCACTGCAAACCCGCATATGTATACGCAATATACCACCCGCATGCTATGCTACGAGTATATCGAATAGCCCCCCTGCTCGTATGCATCGTCATGCTCCGGGAAAATATCATAGTCATCCTTCTCATACCAGTTCATCCCAAAACACAAT